TCAACTTTTCAGTTTTCAGATTTTGATGACAACATTGCCTCCATCCACTTTCGCTCCAACACCACCCCCAACGTTTTCGCTCAGTCCAAACTCAGGGCTCGGAGGTGGTGCATATCGACGAAAGCCAACCACAACTGAGCCACCATTGGACGATTACGATGAGCAAGAAAACGAGAACGCTATCTATGAGGAACCACCAGAGGAGGTGAATCAATTCGGTTTTCAGAATGATTTTGATTGCTCTTTTCGATCACTTCTAAAAGCGCTTCAACAAATCAGTGGAATGGCGGAATGAAAAACGGAATTAATTAACCAAAAAGTGCAATCAAAAATTAAGCACGCATCAGTTCTTAGCGTTCATTAATATTCCTACTCCAATTCAGGAACCTGACGATGATTTGGCAGCAAAATTCGCTGCTGAATTGTGTGCAAACGAGCGAGTGGACGGCGGTGGTGACTTCGAGCAATACAAGGAAATATACGGCGATCCGGTGCACTTGTTTGATGAAAGTGGCTCGATTCAGAGCAACACCCAACAAAATCCATTCAGAACGCCGGTAGCCTCAAAAGCTGCCGAACAACGACCGCTCAGATTCCATCCACCGCCCGGAGCAACTGACCCAGATAAAGACACGGAGCGCTTCAATCCTTTACTCACGCAGGGCTTTTGGGCTCCGGATTTAACGCTTATGTATGCACCTCAATTCACTGATAAGGTACGAAATAGAAATGGTCGATTGAAATTNTTCAGGATGTTATGTTCGGGCTTGATGGAGGAATCGTCTTCTTCGGTCAACGCGCAAACGATGTCACTCGACCGCGAATGTTGAACATATCTGCGCTTGGCGATCAGGTGACACCATTGCCATTTCTTTACGCGTTTGATCTGATTTTATCAATCACTTTCTTCGTTAAGATCGATCTGACAATGAGCAATTTCTATCGGGAAATTAGGATGAGTTTTTGATTTTTCTAAATGGTTAGTAGCAATGTGCTCTTCGAAAAGCACTGAGAAATTCTTCTGAAAATTGCGAAATTACAGATGTTCGGTTTGCTTATCAGTGAGTACGTACCGAACACGTTCTTCGCACACGTATTCGACAATAAACTGGGACTGATTCGTGAGTCGTTCAAGGCTCGCAATCTGCCCAAATTCATCAAACCGATCGCCAAACTTCTCTGCTCAACATGTGAACTGCAACTTATTGCTAACCTGACTGCGTATGACTTTTTTTCCATTCTTCACTCTTTGTGAACAATACTGATCATTACGAGATATTAGTTTTTTGCTGATAATATTACCGCTCTGATAAAAAGACTCAACGAACTGCTGAATTAATGAGAACGTCTTCAGTGACTACGTCATGCTCAACATTTGCTTGCTATGCACATTATTTTCAGTCATTTCTTCTCAGAACTTCCTCTGATGTTCCTTTTTCGAATTTGTATTTGGTTTTATTTCCTCGTCTTTCTCCTGGCTCTCTTAAGATTTCGTACTCAATCATAAGGGTTTTTATTTTAAAAATAGTTGGTTCGATATTCGATACAGCTGATGTTTTGCATTTATTCTGTGCAAAAGGTTTGCGCTGATTGAACGTTTGAACGACTTGGTCAAAAAAAATGAATCCGCAGAAGATTAACTGTTTTTTGATGAATACAATGTCGATAACTTTTTACTGCGATTCAGAAGACCTAAAATGCGGATCGATCGTTCTGGTGTCCGACTCGATATTCAAGGCGATGTAGNACCGTGAGTAACTTGAGATTGTTAGGAACAAGTTTCGGTGACGATCGCTATCATTTCTGTCTCTTTGAAGGAGTCAAAATTATCAGAACAACTTGCGAACTGCCGGAATCGAAGCGTTTTTGCTGTAAAATGATTCTCTTAGCAAAATATACGATCTTAAGAGATCGATCGCTGTCACTGTACGAGAGATCCAAAATGCGATTCCGTTGACAAGATTTATCTGTAATAAAATATTAGATGAAAATCCCATTGCCTTGGTTACTTTTGTCCCTTTTTGAGAGCAAAGGAATTTTGTATTGACACAATAATAATGTTTCAGGTGAAACCGTTCTTGAAGCACAGTCGTGTCTATGGAGATATCGCGTTGACGAGTGTCGACATTAAAATGAAAAATGTAAAATTTCGCTGACAATCGTTCATTTGCGTTAAATTTCCAAATATTTATGTATAATTTCACGGAAATTTGTAATATTCATTCGACGATCTATCCTTAATGAAAATTTCAACTTGTTTTTGTTAGTCAGAGGTGCGCGATTAACGCACCGTTTTAGAAAATGATAGCCGAATAAAGAGCTTAGAATGCTCTGTCGAATAAACGATCAGTTTCTTGGTTTTTTAGTTCTGGTTAGCCAGCTGATCAAGTGATCCAGTAATTTAGCTTAGATGAGTGAATTTAGATGGGT